AAAAAAAAACGTGGAAACGCCCACACCCACACACAAAGACTGTCATGCCTTTGTTGTTGAAGTGGCCTTTTTTTTTGTTTCTAGTGACCAATATGTCTGCCGATGTTGTCGTAGGACGGGGGAGGGGGGAATAACAAATAAAACAAAGGGAATCTGGAAGAACAGGAGGAGTTTAGACCAATATCTTCAGCATCCCTCTTCTTCCCCACGTCAATGTGCTACAAACTGAAATAGGCGCATGTGTGCCCCTACAGTACATAAAAGGACCATCGCAGTGCGGCGGCAACAAAAAAAAAACAGACGAAAGGAGCTTCATCCACGACTTTTCATTTACGCACGCACTACTTGTCACGGTAACAAGCTGCGTGGAACGATGATAACCCCAACAGGGTAGTGATCACTGGGGCAGTCCCTCCTTGGTAACTCTGCATGCCCGGCGAGCCTGAGTACGGCTGTGCAGGCGACGTGCTGTTCGTCAAGAAAAATGTGATCAAGCACCTTGCCCTCTCCGTTCGTTGATGGATTCACCGCGGACACACGTCGTGGGTATCGCTCACGATATGTGGCATAACAGTCATGCAGCGACAGCCCGTGATTGATGGTGTGGGTAATGTGGTACTGTTTTTGTGTGGTATCTTCTAGATTCCCGCCCTCCACGACGCCCCCGCTGCTGCTGCTGACGGTAGGTGAGCCGCCGTCCGTTCCACCGTACTCCGCATCTCTATCGCTGTCCGGCACTCGCCAGCATTTTACCACGTTGCTCCCCGGTGGAGGGGCCCCATCAAGTGCATAGCGAACTGGTGGTGAGTTCGGTTCCGCGTTGAAGTCGCCCGAAAGTATGACCGAAACAAGCGGCTTATCACCTCCCTCCCCCAGAATACATTTTTCATACTTTTCCTTTAGACACTCCATCGTATGTAGTATATGGTGCATCTGCCACAGCTGACACTCCGTGCGTTGCCAGATGAGGTGCACTGTACCCACCACGTAGATTTTGTTCGGCATCACTCGATCACGCAGAACGGTGATGAGAGCGACATTATGGGAACACACTTGCAGAAAACGACGTTCGCGTGGCAGGAGACGCGAGTCGGCAGCCGCTATCTCATTGAAGCGGATAGGGACAACCTCGCAAGGCTCGAAACGATTCTTCAGGTAAAAAATGCAGACTCCCTCCATCTCTGCATGTCTATGTGAGAAACCGTCCTGGTCGTAAGAGTTAGTGGCGGTGTTCGGTGCATTTTGGCGCTCTAATTTGGGGGAGGCGACATCGGTTTCGTCAGTCGTACAGTTACTCCTTGAATCCTCGTGGAGTTTGTCGCTCCAAGACCTTGGACGCCCTGCCGCATCCGTAATGACGAGATGGTCGCCAGCGTACCCAAGGTTTGACCGCAACCAGCCACCAAGCATATCAGGCCTTTCAAACATATCGACGCTGATTTCCTGTAGCGCTATAATATCAGGGGAGGCATTCCGTAGCTCCTTTTGCAAGAGGGATCCCCGGTAATCCTCTGCGAGGGCGAACACAGGGCAATGTGGGTACCGGTCAGTGCTTACTAAACGCTGTGCTAGGATGTTGTAGCTCAATATTTTCACCGCTTCACGCATTGACGATGTACGTAAGTTTTTCCCAATATTCGTCTTCGACCACCCACGAAAGACAGAGCTTCCATCTTCACCCCGCGAAACATTTTCACGGCAGTCACTCTGTAATGTCTCCGCATTTAGACTAGGAAAACTGGCGTTACAATGCCTCTTTTCGCGGCGCTCAAATAATGTCGGCTGTCGGGGCACCGTCATGTGACTATCACCAGCGGCAGATGGGGAGGCACCAGTTGCCGACTCTTCATTCAGCTGAAATATGGGAAGCCCCGTCACTCTTGGAATGAAGTGATGAGGGGGATCACCGGCATCGTCGTCGCTTGCTAATGACAGTGGATGAAGTGGTACGGGTGACGGCCTTGCCATCGCTCTATACATAAAACACTAATGAGTGCCTTTAGTCCAAGTTCACACGGTAAAATATGTTTGCTGTGCGACTACTCGTAAGGCTTTCACAGGGTGAAGAGAGCACAACAACACAAAACAAATAAATAAACCAGGATGAGGGGAGAGCGAAAGTAACAGTAAAGCCAACAGCAGAAGCAGATGTATATGTACAAGGCCATAACAGCAAACGATCAACCAGTACTGGTTTTCGTACTCTCACCATGAGAGGATCCTAAACCAAACGACGCAAAAAAAAAAAGAAATGCGACATAGACGGATAATGCACACACACACACACACATACGCTCACTGGAACCCCTCTCTCTCTCTCTCTCTTCGTCGCTAGACCACACGCCGTCTTACATATCTGTGTGTCCCCCGTCTATGTGTGCATATAGCAAATAATGCACATTCCTATGTGTACAGACGCATACATACACACAGAAACACAAACTTCAATAAGAAGAACAAGACGTCATCACAAGACGACCACCCCCCCCTTCGCCTCCCCTTTTTTTTTGGTTTCCAAAGGGCATCACAGCTGCCCACCGCGCATTCGACCTACATTGCGGTATAGTTGACCAAGCTCTTCATCGCGTTGAAGCACCAGCGCCTTCAATTCCCTAATGTCCTTTTCCATTTTGGCCCTTGCCCGTCCCTCCCTAAAGGCAAGACGCCGGTCATCATCCAACAAATCAGCGCGACGCGCCCTAAGCTCTTCTCTCCTCCCTCTTAGCATACTTATTTTGTTATCCTGTTGCTCGATCTTTTCTCTCAGACTGACGACATCCTTTTCCTGCACCTTCGTCGCAACCTGTTTTTGTAGCAGCGCAAAGCGTTCGTGCAGCTGGATGTCCCCCTTCTCTAGCCGCCTCAGCTCTTCGGTGAGCTCGCGCAGTTTCACACGGAGCTCCTGCTGTTCCTCGAACTGCTTCCCGCGAATCGCAGTGACTGACCTCTCCCGCGCCCTCACCTCGTTCATGTTCTTCTTCCACTGTTGTCGCACTACCTCCAACGTCTCCACTTCCTTCGCCAACTCATTCACTTCCTTCCTCACAGCGGCGACCTTATTGCGCGCGTCGAGCACCTGCGGGTCGTGCGCGAGTTTTTGCTCTGCGCGCTTTAGCTTCGTGATGTGTTGGCGAAGCGCAGCATTTTCCTCCGTCAGAAATCTTCGCTCCGCGGCGCGCCGAGCCCAATCGCTGTCGCTCGAAGGAATGCCCCTCTGCTGCTGAAGCTCGTTCAGCCGCACCCGCTCCTCTTCAATGAGGCCGCGGTAGTACTGGAGTTCCTCCTCGAGCGCTTGCACGGCTTTGTCCCCATGTTCCATCGCGTGTCAGAGAAGTACACACAAGCCGTCGTCCGTTTGAACCAAACTATTTTGGTTGAGCGCTCCACTAATCTTGGGAGCAGCTCCTTTGCGAGAAAAAAAAGGATAAATCATTATACAGACGAAGGCGGAAATAATGAAGGGCGAAGCAGGCCACGCAAGAATAGATCAAACGGAGCAGAGCAGAGCAGCACACACCTCCACAGTACAACGTCTTCTCTATCATGCCGCTCAATGCTAAAAGAAAATTAGATTGAGCACCCCCGTTCACAGATAATTTAGAAAAAAAANAAAAAAAAAAAAATGATCATGTGCGTAAGCCCAACTTTCCCCTACCACGAAAAACACAAAAAAAAAAACGTTTCTTTCGGTAACGCTTCAGGGGGCACAGTAATCACTTATCTATCAATATTCGAAGAAAAATGAACGGCCAAGGGCGGCAGAAACGAAATAGAAGTGTAGGGGATTTGTTACGGCTGTGAACGCGATTGAAGAACCGGGAATCACATTGGCGTAAAGACCAAAAAAAAAATTGCTATTTTTTTCTTTTCATTTTCCTAGAGTAGGCAGGAGAAACCAAATGTATCCCCTTCAGCTCAGCAGTGTCCTCTGGTGGTCTTCTTGTGTCATATTCAACCGAAGGGGGTATCTATGTAGACATCTATGCTGAGTCCGGCCCGCCGCGATTGCGGCGCTGCACTCCTTACCGGGTCAAGAGCCGCAGTAGAAGCAGTCTTCACCGGGTTGGCCCGTTGGGGTCACCGGCGGAGTACCGTTGGCCTCTTTGGCCAGCTTTACGGTCTTCGGGTCGACGGTGAACTTGATCGCGTCCACGGAGGGTCTGCTGCGTAGGTAGTACACGCCCGTCTTGAGGCCTTTTTTCCACGCGTAGAAGTGCATCGACGTCAGCTGGCCAGAGGTAGGGCTCTCAAGAAACAGGTTCAGGCTCTGACTCTGGTCAATGTACTTGCCGCGGTCCACTGCCATGTCAATAAGATCTCGCTGCTTGATTTCCCACACCACTTTGTACAGCTCCTTCAGGTCGTCCGGGATCGCCTTGATCTTCTGCACCGAGCCGTCATTGGCGATAATCTGGTTGCGCATCTCATCGCTCCACAGGTTTCTCTTTATGAGATCCATCACGAGATACTTATTAACAACAGGGAACTCACCGCTCAGCACGCGACGAACATAGATGTTCGATGTGAATGGCTCGAAGCATTCGTTATTGCCAAGAATCTGCGAGGTTGACGCGGTTGGCATTGGTGCTACCAGCAGAGAGTTCCGCATGCCGCTCGTTTCAACGCGCTTCTTCAGCTCATCCCAATTCCACCGCCCACTCTTTGGTTTTTCATCCCACAGATCAAACTGCAGTTTTCCTTCCGATGCGGGGCTTCCATTGAAGCGCGCATACCGTTCCTCTTCTTCCGCCAGTTCCACGCTGGCCACCACCGCGCCGTAGTAAATCGTCTCGAAGATATCTTCATTGAGCTCCCTTGCCTTGATATCCGTGAACGGTAGGCGCATGAGCGCGAATAGGTCCGCCAATCCCTGCACGCCAATCCCAATGGGGCGGTTGAGCATGTTGCTGTCCCTGGCCTCCTTCAACGGGTAGTGGTTGCGGTCAATAACCTTGTTCAGGTTCCGCGTGACGACCTTCGTCACTTCGTACAGGCGCTGGTGATCGAATTCAACTTTGTTATTAAGGAAACGCGGCAGAGCAATTGACGCAAGGTTGCACACTGCGATCTCTTTCGGAGACGAGTATTCGACAATTTCCGTGCAAAGGTTTGAACACTTGATCACACCAATGTTATTCTGGTTCGACTTCTTGTTACATGCGTCCTTGTACACCAGGAAAGGCACACCCGTCTCCATCTGCGTCTCAAGGATGGCAAACCACACTTCCTGCGCCTTCATTGTTTTCACACCGCGCCCCTCACTTTCGTACCGCTCGTACAATTTCTTGAAATCGTTGCCGTAGCAATCGCTCAACCCAGGCGCTGTGTGTGGATCCATAAGCGTCCAGTTTTCATGCTTTTCCACACGCTCCATGAAAAGGTCAGGAACCCACAGCGCGTAGAAGAGATCACGCGCACGCATATCTTCCTTACCCGTATTCTTCTTAAGAAGAAGAAAGTTCATGATGTCGCCATGCCAAGGCTCTAGGTAAATTGCGATCGCACCCTTGCGCCTACCGCCGCCTTGATCCACATAACGTGCCGTATTATTCCACACACGTAGCATTGGCACAAGGCCGTTGGATGTACCGTTCGTTCCCGCAATATAACTCCCGGCACAGCGGATGTTGTGAACGTGGATGCCGATACCACCAGCCGATTTGCTGATTATGGCGCACTGCTTTAGGGTGTCGTAGATGCCCTCAATGCTGTCATCCCGCATTGCAACAAGGAAGCAAGAGCTCATCTGTGGTACTGGTGTGCCAGCGTTGAACAGTGTCGGTGTTGCGTGCGTAAAGAAGCCAAGAGACATATAATCGTATGTTTCCTTCACGTGTTGCATGTCAGCACCGTGAATACCGATGGCAACACGAAGAAACATATGCTGTGGGCGTTCGATGATCTTCATTTCACCTTCAGCAGTTTTCACGCGCAGTAAGTATGAGCGTTCCAGTGTTCGGTAGCCGAAAAAATCAAAGTTCATGTCCCTCTTGTAATCGATCATGTCCTGGAGCTCCGTGTGGTGCTCCACCACGATTTTCCACGTCTCCTCTGACACAAGCGGTGCCCAACGCTCCGTCCCTGGTATCCTATAGTTGAAGAGGATACGGAATGTTTCGAGCACTGAATCATTCGTCTTTTTGTGCAGTGCCGCGACACATAGGCGGCCGCCCAATAGGCCGTAGTGTGGGTGCTTTGTCACAGCATAGGCCGCCGTTTCAGAAACAAGTCGGTCCAATTCCGTCGTTGTGATGGCGTCGTACACACCATCCACGACAGACTTCGTCAGCCTGTCAATGTCAACGTTCTCTGTGTCCAAATCTCGAGACAGCACCTCGAGTCGATGTCGAATCTTTTCCGTATCAAACGGCTTCAGCTCATCATTAGCATTTTTTACAAATAACTCGGGCTTCATCTTTAGTGCTTCTTAAATCTTTTCACCTTCTGTACAACAATATAAGAAGGAAAGAGGATTGTGCGGCTTGGTAGAAAAGTGACATATTACGAATGCATTTTTCTTTTGGTTTCTCTTGGTCTTCGCATGACCTGCAGCAAGTACTACAGAGGAGCGCGCCCAGAGAAACACAAGCTGCGGATAAGAAGAACAGCCACGGCCCGCAACACCATCCCACGCACACTGCAGCATAAAGATGTTGTTTCGAATTGGTGAACTTTAGCCCCTTTCCCGCTCCGTCTCTCCTGCCATCGGAAGGCGACACACCGTTAGTTCCTTGTTTTTTTTCTTTCTCTTTTTCTCCCTTCTCTTTTATCCCTTTCCGTGAATTTGCAAACTCACAGTGAGGGCTTTTCATGGATGCATTCCGCGCCATTCACAGCTTGCAGCTCTTAGTCCAGCTTTGTTTCTAGATCCCAGGCCTGCGCGAAGATCTGTATCGGTCTTTCTCCAACACAGCGCAGCATGTAGGTGCCAGGAGGAAGAATTACGCGTGTCTTCTCCACATGCCCCTCGTTGACAGAGGCGACTGTATACCATCGCGAGGAGCCGCGGGCCCCACCGAGGAGCCCCAACGAGGGACCCACTTTGACCTCCAAGAATACCCTCGTGCTGCTGCCGTGCCTTTTTTTACCCACCGCATCTCCACCCGGCGAGGCGTGAAGGAAGCTCGAAGACTGCGACGCGATGCTCGTCAGCTGCATGCGACAGCCCACATCCACCGACACGTTAATGTCCGGCTCAATCTCGAACGAAACGCCCTTCTTGACAACCGACTCAGTTTCCGTGAACCAGTAGCGGCGGTTCATGGAACGCGGCGGCGGCTTTACAAAACGAACCTTGTTGCCGTCCCGCGAAAATGAGATGTGCTTGCGCGGGCGTTTCGCCGACCCTTCAGCACCAAATCTTGGGCGCTTCGTCCTTAGATGCTGCATGAAACCTACCGGGCTACACCGCTCCCTCCTCTTCTGCCTTCCCACCCAGTGTTTAGTTTTAATTAGCGTCGCGTTAGCTGTGCGGAGTTACGTATTGCGCAATTGCGTGTGCTGCTTAACACGCAACTGTAAAACGCCCTCCAAATAAAAGAAGACCTATATATATATATATGTTATATGTTATATATGTATGTGGGTGTGTGTCTACACGCGGCACTGACCTGGACGTGCGAGAATGTGCTCTGTTGTCCCACTTCCCTCTTTTGTGAGCCGCCGCCCCTCCCTTTACCGCCACAGCGAAAGGTGGTAAGTAGAAAGATAAATGCAGGTGAAAAGAGACAATAAGGGGGCGATTGGAAAACCAAAGAAGTGCCATGCCTAGTCTGGCCATTGCACACATCGCTCCTACAAACAGTCAACATAGCTCTCTCAATCACAAGTCATTGGGCTTGAGCGCAACAGCATCGGATTGCAAGGTGCGCCAAGTATGCTCACTCCACCACCGCCCCCGGCAACGAATAATAATAATAATAATAACCGACAGACCCAAAGGCTAATGGCATGCAGAGCCCTTCAAGATATTAGAAATATATCAACACGAGAAAACACAACGGGATTTTAGCCATCCCTTCTGCTGACTCCCGGCATGTCCTAATCGTGGGCATCCAGTGATGCAAGTGAAGTGCTCGTCAAGAAACGATGAAAAAAGTACGAGAATCCATATGAAATTGCAGCTCCTACACCAGTCGCACCTCCATGACACAAATGATGAGCTCAGCAACACCAAGAATACAACACAACAGACAGCGGTCCTTGCACAAGCGACAAGGAAAGAAAAAAAAAGCAGCTTCTCTCACAAAGTCAGTTGCACACGCACACCGAAGGGGTCTGTGGTGGTGTAGAAGTGCTCCACTGCCACGCCCAAAGCGCATGTCGCCGAGGACGCATATCGTGCAGGCGTCTGCAGCGACAGCACCCCCGCCCCACATCCCAATCGTGGACTGAACGGATCCACCACAGTTCAAGTAAGCATTTCCTTTTTTTTTGTTCACAGCAACACCAATAATCGTCGTGGGATTCGGGACTATACCATAAAAAACCGGAACCTAAGAAGGAGCTTACTCTTCACAAATGCACCGCACGTCCTTGTTGACCACAGATTCTCTCTCTCATTCTTTCTTGAGGAGGCCTCCGTACAAAAGGTATGCGGCATAGCTAACACAAAAATCAAGTTCATCCAATCACACGTGCCGCTGTGGTGGCATTGCATATGCCTCCAAAATTGTGAATTGATCTTCCGTTTGCATCGCCACATCGAACGATATGCGAAAAAAGTCTCATGGCAGGCCTTAAGACCAGTGAAACCCAAACACACTCTGGTGATATGTACACATGTATGCCTGAATGTCCATATTAGTCACTCCCTTTCATCTTTCATCATGAACGAAGAAAAAGACAAAACAACATAGCGAATGATAATGGAACAATGAATGTAACCGTCAGCAAGAAATGACCTGGCCCAGGCTGTTTCTTTTTTTCTTTTCTAATCCTCACAGTGAATATGTGTTAACTAGGAAGTGGAGGGAGGGCCCACAGCCGCACATGTCTGCCGTCTGCGCCACCGCTCGTTGCAAGGCCCTCACCGTTCTGCACAAACACCACTTGCTCCACGTTGTCACCCTCGTGACAGTCATGTAGAACCACAACAGGCTCCAGCGCAAAAATCTTAGAAGACGCATTTGCGGCAGAGGCCTGGCGGTAAACCGCCACATCACCGTCACGCGAGAGTGCAACGGTGAGATGCTCGTGGTGCGAGCCGCCGTAGATGCTGAGAGCCATCTGCATAGGTCGCACGGGATCCCACCCTTCGTATGTGGAATCCTTAAATTGACCAACAAGGGACATCACACGTTCCGTCTTGGAGTTTACTGTTTGCGATTCGATGTCATAAACGCTACCACATCCATCTTCTGTAAAGACAACAAGGTACTCGCGTGTGTTAAATGCAGGCACATTCTTGGTGGTGAGCCCAAGAGCCAGAACACGCTCCTGTGAATCTCTTTGCACGTGTATACTGTTCCGCAATTGAATCCCGGACCCGTTTGGAGGCACATGCACCGTCGCCAATCTCGCCGCTTTGAGAAACGATCCGGCCACAGCAACAGTAGTGTCCTGCATCGCCCACGTCAACGCGTTTCCTACCCTGAATTTATCCTTCCCGAGGAACTCTTTCCGGCGAAGACTAAATACCTCAACTTCGCAGTCCTTGTCGTTCATCATCACAATGAGATCGTATGCCGCTCCCGCCAAACCCCATGACGGGAGGGACGACACCAGTCGGTGGCCGGGCAACTTGCAGGAAGACTCCAGAGTCAACTGGCACTTGTTTCCAATGATAAACACAAGGAAGGTATCGCTGTTGCGCTCACTGACCGCCAACCTCGTGCCATCGTAGGAAAAGGCGGCGGCACGCACCTCCACTCTTCCCCCGCCTCCCATAGCCTGCACGACTGCTTCATCAACGGAGACAAAGTACTTCTCCTGTAACTCCTTCCCCCGAGCCATAAAGGCGCGGTTCGTGTTCTGAGGGTACAGGCGTGCCCTACGCTTGCTACGACAGTAAATGAACAAGTAGCGCTGGCACGGTGAGAGAATGAGGGCATCCACCTCAGGGTATCCTCCCAAGACAGATGTTGGCTTCGCAGGCATTTTTTCACCACGCTCCTTCTTTGCAGGAGAAGTGACTGCACCACTCTCTTCTTTGTGGTGTTGGCCTTTTGTCTCTCCGTGTTGCAATGTCTCGGTATTTGATGAATTGGTAACAGCGGCATGGCCAGAAAAAGTTGACATTTGTGTGGCTGCAGCTGGACGGCGTGCGCGTTTGTGTTGTGACACAAAAAACAGTACCAACAGGGCGCCCGCCACGAGGCATGCTGACACCACAGTCCACAGCTCCGTTGGCGAAGCTGGAAGCTGCTTCACCAGAAACTGCATGGGGCTCATGATATCAGGGTCGTAAACAGCCAGGAAATGAACTTGTTGGTCACTGTGACCCAGGGAAAGAGATATGGAGAAAGAGGGGGAAAGGACGTCTTCCATCCAGAGAACCAGTTACATATTCACTCATGCAATACAACGTGTAGCGGTGCTTACACGGTGGCACATCCCGGCACCCTTGCTGGCACACAAAAAACTGGCCCTCACGATTGGGGATAACCGCAGAATGGGCAGTATGCCACGAATGGCGTGCCAGAGTCAATGAGGATGTGTTCATTTGCGGCGCAGACGGCACATTCTAATTGAAACAGACGTGAAGGCTCACCACTATTCGTTGTGGTCACGCTCTTATCATCCACAAAGCCGACACCACGTCTCGATACTCCGTGTGTACTCTCAACACGGTGTGCACCTCCGTTTATTTGTTGGTGCTGCTGGTTGTGGTCTTCGTGGGGAAGATCCACAGAAAGTCTCAACGAACCTCTCGCCGTTGGATAGCGGTGTGCGTGAGTGAAGAGGAGATCCTGTATTTCCTTCGCATCATCGCCAGTGTGTGCTTGGCCCTGATGCACCGTCGGTGTGAACTCCACCACCCGTGCCACGTTGGGCGACGGCGACGGTGACGGAGGCAAGCGGAGGGTGCCACGGAGATGCTCCTGCAGACGTGCACGCAGCTGCCCGAGTCTTTCCCGGTGCTGCTCACCCACAGTGGAGCGGACTTTCTTATCAATCTCTTGCTGAGCCGATATGACGCACGGAGGCTCGTCCGTTGCAGCAGGGGTGACGTCTGCCACGGGAGACAGCACGATGGGGACGTAGTTCATGCGCGCATTGAAGGCACCGCTACAAACGTGACACAGACACACACACAAGCAGACAACGATAGAGAGAGAGAGAGAGAGAGAGAGAGAGAGAGAAAAGGGAAAGGGGGCAAAGTAAGAAGATAACAAAAAACAAGAGTAGCTACAGTGAATCAGAGTGCGTTTTAGCCCAAATGTAATCTCAATCTCTGTGTGGTAAAAGATAGACGCCCACTGATGGGATCGTCTACGACTTACCCCACACGGCACCACAAGCGCACACAAGAGCGAGCGTTTCGGCGCACAGTCGCAATGGCCCCCATCATCCAAGACGCAGCGAACTTCAAACCAAAGAGTGTTCTATTTGAAGTGCCACCCCTGTCACGGGGTCTCGGACTAACGTGTACTCCCTCCTAAATTCCTCGGACTCAAAGAAGGCGTTGAGGGACTCCTTCGACACGCTCGTCGTGCAGTGCTCCAGCTGCGAAACGTCGATGCGCACCTTAGTCGGTTCCACCCCACCCGACATCTGCCGCTCAAAGGTGCGAATGGACTGCACTGCCACCTTGATGTGGTGCTGAATGAGTGGGAGCGGCTCCGTGTCCGAGTCGAAGTACTTCCGAAAGCGGTTCTCCATTGCGCTACGCAGGCTGTACTTCTGCGTTTGGATGAAGCAACGTAAGAAGAGCGAGATGGCGGCGCTGACGTCCTCGTCGCGGACAAAGTCACGTAGGTGGAGCCGCGCATGTGCCTCTGAGAGACGTATCACTGACTCCATGTGACGGACGGTGATGGCGAGGCCGCCGTGCTTGGACTCCTGTCGAAGTTCAGTGTATAAACGCGCAATCGTATTCGCGTCAATGTTTGAGACACGCGGGTGACAGTGCGCCTTGGCGTACAAGATGTACTTCCGCAGCAGCTGCTGTGGCAAAGGCTTATCGCTGGATGGGTCCTCATCCTCCTGCAGAGACTTGTCAAGGACAGTGTGGCGCAGGGCTTGCAGCTGCATTTCAATGGCACGACGCTCCTCCTCAGTGGGGGCGTTCTCCAAAGCGTGGCGCAGCTTTGAGAGGCGGTCGTGGAGTTCCCGCTCGGCGCGTTTGTTCTCGTCCTGCGACCGTGGATGATTACGAATATGCGAGTGACATATGAATGTGGCTAACTTCTCGTCGAGTTCCACATTGACTTCATCCCGTACAACAAACAGGAGGTCAAAACGTGATAAAATCGGTGTTGTGAGGTTTACATTCGCGTCAAACGACAGGGAAGGGTCGTACCTTCCACCGATCGGATTTGCTGCTGCAAGAATGCTGCACCGCGCTGAGAGTGTAGTAACGATACCTCCACGAGCAACCGATATTGTTTGCTGTTCCATTGCCTCGTGAATGGAAGTGCGGTCCTGGTCCGACATCTTGTCAAACTCATCAATAAGGCAGCTGCCGCGATCTGCTATAACAAGAGCCCCCCCTTCCAGAACGAAATCTCCGGTAACACTGTCCTTGTGAACAGAAGCTGTTAGACCCACTGCCGTTGAACCTCTCCCTGTCGTGAATACGGCGCGATTTGCTGTTTTTTCCACAAACTTCAAGAATTGGGACTTGGCACACCCCGGATCCCCAACGAGCAGCACATTGATGTCTCCACGAATACGGTGCGACTGGTCCCCGCCCACATCCTTCGGCACACCACCGAGCATAGCGAGAAGAAGTCCCAGCTTGATGTCATCGCGCCCGTGGATGCTGGGCGCAATGGAGCGGAGGATTTTCCGTCGCAAGTTCGGGTGCTTCGAAAGATCCATAATGCGGGCCCGCTCGTCATCTGGAAGCCGGAAGCTGCCGACCTCTGCACTGCGGCGCACCACGTTGTTAGCGTGTAGCACCGTTGTGAATACAGGAAACCCTTGGCGGCTGTTCAACAAAGGATCGAAGTTATTGCGATAGATGCCCGTCACGTCCACCTCCTCGCCTGGGTTCGCGCGGTCAATGAGGTCATTCGTAAGTACAACTTCCAAACTCCGTGGGAGACGGCCGGGTGGTACCTTCCCTGGTGACTCCTGGAGCACAATGGTCTGGTGGTTACGGTACTCTGTGAGAGTCATATTGACGCGGAAAGGACCCTTGCTGTGGCAACTTGGGCACATACTCACCCGTTGCTCCTTGTCACCACGCTGGTAAATCGGTCCAATTATATAGCTACAGCGCACACAGTCGTAACGAACAGCCTGCATTTGTGGGTAAACAGGGGAGCGGCGGATAACTACTCCCTCTACACGCACCAGAACGTTCATGTGGATCTGACGAAAGTCTCGGATAGGATCACACAGCGGTAAATCGCAAATTCGAACTAAAATGCATCGATGTACCTTGCGGTAGTGTGGAAATAGCCTAAATACGAAGTAGTTTGCTGCGTCCTCTAGCAACTCAATCATAATATCTGGAACGTCAACCAACCACAACGCCAGCACAGAGTCATAGGCACGGCTCAAGTGACTGTAACTTAGTTGAAAACTCTGTTCGTTTTCACGCGTCATAAGGTTCACCTTCTGTTCGTACACGCTTACACCGTGCTCAACATAGTTTAGGTAGAAATTGTAGATGCGGTTCTTTACAACACGTCGGGGGAGCTCCTGCGCAAGCCACTCGACCAAATCGCACTGTGGTTGACGCCAGTCAAAGTCCATTGACTCCAATTCGCCGCGAACATAAACGCCATCGTCTTTTGAATTTCCCACAACTCCATCAGCACCCCCTTCATTCATGTTGTCGTCGCCGTTATCGTCATTTCCCCCAGCTCCATTTTTCCCAGCGTCCTCTCCAGCATTTGTACCATCGTAGTAATCATCATCCGCGCTGATCAGGGACTCTTCATCGTCCACATCACTAAACACTCCCTCCTGCAGTTGCCGCTGCTCCTCGCGAAGTCTCTGCTCCATTTCCTTGCGTCTGTCCAGCAAAGCGTCCACCGCTGCACGCCCGGAGTCTGATATGACGGAGACGTCCGTGTCATCGTCGATCCAGTCCTCATCCGCCACGTCATCCTCGGCAACCTCGCTCTCCTCATCGGGGTGAAGGTAGTCCTGCTCGTAGTTTTCGCCAAAGAGGTCCTCGCCGAGTTCTTCTTCCGCCTCCTCAGGCTCTTCGTCACTCTCGCGTGCGTGGCGTGGCAGCCCCTCGTCGCGGGCACGCTTGCGGTGTGGCGGCATATTGCGAACTCCGCGGGGAGTCTACTCTTGCCGGCGATGTGCAACTTGCTTGGGGGTTGATTGCGTGGCAGGTGAAAGAAAGCCGTATCATTTCATAGGTTTTTTTTTGTGTATTTAGGCACGGGCATAAATATCACTGATCAGGCAGACACACCATTGCTGTGAAATGCGCAACGTATCGTGCACCTCTCAACCTCTCCCGATTAAAGAAATAATAATAATGATAGCAATAATAACAATCATGGACCACACCCCAACAAGGAAAGCAAAGACTAGAAAATATTAAATAATGAAACAAACGAACAAGAAACCATTGAACGAATCTGTATTTTGACAGTAGTCAAGTCAGTCCCTTGGCCAACACTGATCTACTCTTATCTATCCTTTTTCAGAAAAGAGCTGCTTTTTGCCGCTCTTCACATCCAGCGCAAAGAGCCCTGCTTCTTTAATTTCCTCAAAGTTGATGAACTCATCATCACCCACAAGTACAGCAGGTTTTTTTTCAAACGGCTTTCCTGTGAGGAACGTATTGCGTAGACTCGGCCGCCTCCTTGTCGCCCCCAGCCGAGTCACCAACGCCTGCGTGACCCACAAAGACGACTTGTACTGTTGTTCCCAAGCACGCATCGATAAGAGCATTTTGATCTCTCCAGAATACAATTTGTGATGAACATCATGCGGAAAGTAAGTTGGCCACCATTTTAGTGCCTCTTCAGGGATACTTACATCACATGTGTTGTAGAACAGTGGAGCAGGCGCATTTAAGCCATTCTCTTTTGGGACACTAGCAGCTCGTGGCGAAATATTCCACGCGCTACCAATATAACCAAGTGCACGCTCAGGTATCCACATTTGAGAGCACCTGCTCCTCACAGACTGTGCCCGAGCGCATTCCACCAACAGCGCCCCACGGATAGGCATCTGAATTAAAAAGTGCATTGGGGTTCTCGCTACCATTTCCTTAACAACAGTTTCCTCCTCAAACTGTTCAACGTTAAACAGGCAACAGGATTTGTGTGCCGAGGAGAGTGCGTCTATATCGGTAGGACCAGTGGGGAGCACTATGCCCTGCTCTTGCGGCTTTAGTCGAAGGTAACGGCCAACCTCTGCTGTGTGAATAACAAAATATGGTGAGGAAAATCCACGGAGGAGTGAGTATTTCCGAAGTGCTTCCTGCATGTCAGAATTCAGCTTCGGAACAGTTGCGCTGTGCGACACATTAAGGAGCAAAGGTGCGGAAAACTTAGCCGTCTCCTCTCCAATGCGCTGATGCCTGGAAGCCGCAGCGGACTCCGACGCAAAGGATGCCAGCAATGGGTAGCTGCGCACCTTGTCTGCCCCGACGAAGACGCCACTCGCCGCCAAGTCAATCTCTCGCGTGGTGGGGAACACCGTATGGTCTTCAAACTGGTCAGCGCAGAAGTACTCCACCGCCCTCACCTGCCCTTTCCCTGAGAAGTGAGCCACAAATATTGGCGCTCCGTCCCTCTTGCGCCCCGCATCCAGACAAGTGCCATGCAGCTCGCCTTCCCGCATTGTCACCCAGGTACGAGAAGTATACCCGAACTTAGAGGCCTTCCGTCGCATCAGCAGAGCGATGGCGGGAGGAAATGGCAGATTGGTAAACGTATGCGGTTCGTATAAAACACACTCTGTAGGATTGTATCTTCCAGGGTAGGGTGTTTCCTCAGCGTTTATCCAACGGCGTCGCCTGCCCTTCAATCTCACCCAATAGGGGCTTCTAAAGCCTTGCTCCTCGCTTACCGAGGCGAATTCAGTAGAGCGACTCTCGTTGTACAACACGCCTGTCGGCGTTAGAGGGAGTGACCCTCGTGTTCCCGAAACAATGGCGCTTTGGTAGCGTTCAAAATATTCTGCATCAGTCGTGTGTGCAGCATTCACCAAGACGCGGTCGAAGCCGACGACCTGCAAGTCAGTCGAACCACACCCTGGCATCAGCGACACATCGCACAGAATGGCATTCGGCAGGAGGGTCACCCCGCTCTTTAACCTCCCCACAAGTCTCTTAGGCACCCACACATCGCTCATTAAGTTGTGGCGTCTTGCAAATGCCATGAGACCATGACCAATCTCCTCTGGAAAAATGGCACCAGTAAACAAGCGTGGCGCCCTCCGTCGAAGCGATGCCATGCTACTTTCTTGTCCAACGCGGTGAAGAATGCCAACACACTTCTTTTCCATCTTCAATACCTTCTCCGATATTTCCTTGGGTGTGCTAAAACATAGAAGAGGGGGAAAAAAAACCATTCCGTTTTTTCATGAATTTTCGAAATGACGTCGTGGAAACAACGAGAAGAACCCACGGGGTTCCTGTATTTATGGCATTGAGGCTATATGGAAGCATCTAAAAAAGAGAACTTCCAGTATTGCGTAGTGTTTGTTTTAAGTGTGCCATTCGGATTGCAAGGTATTCGGTCATTTCATCGCCGCATGCCTTTAGTTCAGCTGCAACCTTCTCCCGCTCCAGTGCGCACCGGTAAGCGCGCCGTCGACATTTGCGATAATCCATGAGCATCTGGGCATGGTGTGGCTCCATGGACACAACAGACGCATCATCCGACGCACTATCATCAATCAATGTCGCACTTGCACCTCTTTCCTGCGAAGAAGATCGCCCTCGTTTTCCATTCTTACGCTGGTATCCGTTTTCTCTGCTAACTTGCTCCCTTTTCTTTCCAGCGGTGAACTTCTCCATGGCCTGTGCAATCTCACGGAGGCGATCCAGTTCCTCATCGATTCGGAAATCTAACTCCCTGAGTCGACGAACATAACGCCAGGCGTCTGACCTCGCACTCTCCGAACTCGCCACGAAGTACTCCAGTTGATTCATCTGGTAGCTACGAGAAATGATCAAAAACCCACGAACAGTATGGAATTTGCACTAACTTTTGATCTGCTCAAAGACATACATGCATATGTCTGTATGTGCAAGGATGTGTCCCTGTCTATACGCCTTTAATGGCCTCAGAATGAAGAACGCGGGGGAAAGCAACAACAACACAAAAAAAATTCAACCTGTCCTTTACACATAACTGATCACGTAAGGAAAAAAAAACACTTACCGGTGTCCCCTCGCCCAGAGTTAGCGAAAATACAACGAGGGCACAAAGTGTGAAATTAAAGGCTATCACATTTATGATGCCGCCCTTCTCACAAAGACCCTTGCGTTCATACGGGATTCTCTCATTATTAAAACTCTATCGGGAGAAGGGAAAGAAGATGATGACACTCTTTTCTCAAGTTCTGTTGTCTTGACTTTCCCCGTGTCACGTTAGATCTTTTTTTGCCTATTTGGCTTTCATTTCCCGCCTCCTCTCACCCTTTTGTTTTAAGTGTACTCTCATTGACCATTTTTACCGTCACATCAGCATCTTGGAAATCTCACCGTGAGGATCAGGAATACCCTTACCATCAGGCCCACACTAAAACATCAATAGTGATTCACCCGTACCCAGTGAGGCCGGAAGCGGTGAGGCGCATGTATATGCATCGAGGGAAAGCAGAAGTATCATAGAATTAGTTACGAGTCAACATTGATTCTTCATGCACCGCTGCGGCTCCACTGCCACTGTGGAGGAGACAACGGCTGACTCCTCGCCTCGTACACACCGATTGTGTCATTACCGGCGTAAATCAGGCCCATTTCCTGAGGACACCACCGACGCACCTCACGGCGAACTCCATATTCCTTAAGTAGTTTGTAGTGAGTGTAGAGAAGCTCATGAAAACGCCAGTCACCCGTTGATGCCGTATCGCCAATGTATATCACGATCCGACCCCCCGCTTGTGTGAAATATTCCAACGCTTCAAAACCCATTGAACTTTGCTCCTCCTGTGGTGAACCAAACGGTGGCCAACACAAGAGCAGGATAGCCGTGGGGCAATGCAACGAAAGCAGTGACGCCGGCCCACCTAGTGAAACCACAACGCTGTACGGGCAGCTCAAAGCTACTTCATCAAAGGCGTAGATGGGCAATTTCTTCCCTGGGTAGAATGAGGCGTATACACCTTCAAAGGAAGAAGGGCCCAACGCCACATCTGGACCGTTGGAAGCTGCCCCCACACCGTTTGCAACACGGTTGAAAATGTGCTCGATGTAGCCTGCGCCACTACCTATGCTGACGAGGCAGCTCAAGTCTGGTAACGCCCGGTACGCTGCGTCCAGTGCATCCTTCACTTGCTTGGGCGAGACAAGGCTCCACGCAAAAGCCGTAGATGCAATACGATGAGCCTCGTATGTCAATGGCACCTTCAGTATGTCCGGAAAAGCCTCACGGTAGCGATCAATCTCCGATTTGAACAACTGATAGTCATCATCAACTCTCTGAAGCACAGCCTCAACTAAATACGTCATATGTGGATAGTAACACATAAGGAAACAGCGGGGACATTGGCGGTAGTAGAATGATTCTCCAACTTTACCTTGACTATTCTCATCTATGCCCTCAAAACCACACACGGCGCAACTCCACAGCTCCTTTTCCTCCTCTAACCGTGATTTTTCAAGGAGGCGCTCAAACTCTTCATCGGCACTCTTTGCAGGCTTTACCAGAGGCTCTGCTCCCTTATCATGTGGTAGGAAACATATACGACCAAAAGGGCAGAAGCCGTAGTCTGTGTAAACTGGGCACGCATGCTGATCTTGCATAAACGCTGGCGAAGCTATTGGAGGTAACGGCGGTGGGAGTCCCCCCGTTGCTGTGTAATATGGCGATGGACGAGCGATCATAACGTGCTTTGATGCCCTTCGTTGATTACCATACATCAGAGCACTGTAGTACGTGAGCATGCACATGGCGCATGAGCATTGAGCGTCATCCGTGCTGTGCGTTGTCGCTTCTATCATCTCTGTCATGGTATCGAGGCAGAAAAAAAAGGGAGACCAAGCTATGACGCTAGTCTCCAGTGCCTTCACGGAAAAACACAGATGAATCAAAGAGTGTGAGAAAGAGGAGGAGAAAGAGAATGAATGTTCCTGTGATATAATAGAGGTCAAGCCCCCTTTCATGTTGGTTTGAAAGGGGGATAAACAAAAAAGTGCATGACACTGCGGCACACCGCTCCCTCTAAGGTGGCTACTACGGAGGCATCACGGGGAGGCACTTGATATGGGCTCTGTTTTCTTGCTTTGTATGGGGACGTGTGTTTGCTTCTTTTACCTTCTTGTACGAGGAATTCGAGCGTTTCAAAAAATGTGAAGAAAGCGAAATGGGACAAATAAATACTCTATACCTTATTGTCTTTCAACGCTCTTCCCCTGCTCTCATCAGAAGGAGCTTCTTACTATTCATGAGCTTTCTGGAAGTACATTCCCGACACCACTTATTATCCCATCTCATATCAAGTATTGCACCCCGTCTTTACTCATTTAGAAATCGTCGCTGAGGCTCTGGTTGCTCCCGCCGTGCTGCTGCTGGTAGTCACCGCCACCACGGCCGCGGCCGCCACGTCCACCAAAGCCACGCCCGCCACGGCCACCACCGCGACCACGGCCCATGCCCTCTGGTGGGCGGGGCCCGGACGGGAGTTTAGCTCCGCCTGCGGCAGTCACATTCTCGGCACGTGTGCGCCCATCTTGCGAGGCAACCTCGAACTCGACTTCCTGACCAACCGTAAGAGAGCGAAAACCGCCGGTTTCAGTCTGTAAAGCGGAGAAGTGGACGAAGTGTTGTTTCTTGTCCGCGTCATCCTCAATGAACCCGAAGCCGCGTCCCGACATCCACGATATCACCTTTCCCTTGTTAAATAGAATTGCGCTTGGCGCCACGCGGCTGAGAAGGCAGGCGCGAAACATGAATGGCTTGTTACCCGGTTTGGTATATTGGGTTTTTTACTTTCCTTTTTGTTTTTTGAAGGGGTATGCCTTTCTTATTATTTTTTTTGTGTGGCTTCTCTGGGTACCGGCGAAAGGAGAGGACGATGACGAGGAGGAGGAGGAGAAAGCTTTGTTGTCAACCTCACTACATGCAGACAACGTGCTTTGAAAACAGAAGAAAGAGATGGACAAATAGAGCAAGGGAAAAGCGAAAACAGCAACCCCGAAGGACGTTAGTTCCACTCTTCCCCCTTCGCGCCCCCCCCCCCCNCAAAAAAAAAAGAGAAAATAAGATGGCAACAAAATAACGACGACCCGTGCGCCCACCGCGTTAAAAGTCGATGGGAATTCCACAGGCCGAACTCAACGTAGCCTCATCAAAGACAAAAGAGTCTCGCCAGGCCCTATCCTGTAGCATGTTATCCATCCACTTTCGCTCCGCTCTCCACGCCATCCATTCGGACTCGGTGAGGTATTGTAAAGAAATCTGTGATGATACTTCATCCATCGTGACATTTGTGGCACTAAACACCACATCGGCGCCTGACGTGAAGCCACGCGCCGAAGATTTACGGCCGTGCAACGCAAACAAGACGATCCCCCCTACAGGTACCACTGGAACCATTGCAGTATGTCCTCTCTCAGTCTCCGAGCACACATCCCTACTGTAAAAGATGATCCGATCAGTCGGTTCCACGTGAAGTACATTTCCACCACCACAACATACAGTGGTTGCGTGCTTGAGGACTGGCTTGATGAAACCTATGCCTTCGTCTGCACTGTACTTCACGACATACCCTCTCAGTCGTTTTGTCGCCATGTGCGCTGCCTCATACGGCGCCTGTCTCCTTGACACAGGTTCATGCATGAGAAAAAAAAAGAAATGATGCTGAAGTCCTCTTGTTCCCCAGCACATTCTGCATGCCGTATCTCACCCATTTACGCACCACAAAATGACACCAACAACAAGCACTTTACACGCAAATGTAGGCTATGGGGAATAAATCAAGGAATAGTCTGCGGGTCCTCGCCTCGTGAAAGCCGTATAAGCCGCTCTTTGGCACGCAAGATATCCGCGGAATACCCCGGCTCTTTTGCCTTCACCACTGTGTCCCACGACACCTTGACCACCTCACGATCACGATCACTGCTTGCGTCAGAGCCACGAGCTGCACGTGGCTTCGGTGCACGATCCTCCTCATTGCCCTGCCGTCGAACGCGATAGAAGGCACCTTCTGCATCAAAGGTAGGGCGGTGTGTATCCTCATGGATGCGTAGTGACCGCTGCAGCCTCCGACGCACGTTTTGCTTAGGATGCAGTGAGCCACTGCCGTCGGTCGGTTTACCTCTGGAAGACGATGCGGCTGAGCCTCCATCCTCTCTCTTGTCTTCCTCGACATCATTACGCAGTTTCGGAGGAGATGTAAATGTGCGGTCGTCATCTTCAGGAAAGTACTTCGCTGTCCAATCCACCAATGAGGGGTCCAATGAGGCTTCATTCTCAAGGGCCCGTTGGCGCAGGAAGGGGAAGGCAGAGTAAGGCGCATTTCGCTTCTCCGCCGCCGAAAGGTCCATTGTGGCAGGAGTATTCTCCAGAATCGCTTGCTCACCCTGGAGACGGCGCGCTTTCACAAAATCTCTTCGTGCATTACTTTCATCCATGTGTCCCCCTTCCTCGTTGTCATCTTTCCCATTATCTATTTTCTCGTCTGCAACGGCTGAGGTCAGATTTCCCACTTCCGAGAGAATGCCTTGTTGGCAATCATTCGATGTATGCAGCGATTGGGTCTCTTCGCCCTTTTTCTGGGACAAATCCACTGCCCATGTTCGCAACAGTTGCGGTGAAGAGAATGCCGCTGCCGTAACATAGGCACGGTATTCAGCATCCATTCGATCACAGAGCTGCATGTACTTCCGCGCGTCACGAACTTCCTGTTTCGTTGCGTCAATTGTATCTCTTAAATAATCTTGTAACAGAGATGCGAGTTTCTCCCGTAGTGCCTTATCCTCAATTCTACACCATGCTTCTTTCCGTCCATACAACCTTTCTGCATCGTCCATGTAGGTTCTTTTCTTGTCTTGCAGCCATGGAACATTTGGAAGGGGTCGCTGCTTTGAAAACTTCATATCTCGCCGAAAATCCCCCTTCTCTCGCACGGTTTGTGGATCAGAGGAGCGGCGTCGGTATGGCGGATTGGCACTCGCGTTGAAGCAGCGCTGGTAATACAAAATCACCATACCAAAACAAATACGGCCCTCACCATGGGATCGCCTCATTACGATATTTTGCGCGGCCACGGCTTAAACAGGACAAACATAAAAGACAAAAAAAGGATCAGAAGGCCAAAAACATAAACACCAATAGACCTATAACCAGAAATACAGAGGGTCATTGGGTGGAGGAGTCGCTTTTCTCGGCCAGAAAAAATTGCGCCCTTTTTTCCCCTTCTTTCTCCTTGTTATACCGTTTTATCTCATCCTCTTCAGTGTGTTATGTGGGCAAGCCAGACAAATAGGCATTCTATTCATCATTTCCCAGCACGCTTGACCAAAATGTAGACATCGCTATTGTAGTGGATGTCACGCAGACTCTGCGGACTGCCAATGACTTGTGTCAGCAGTCCACCACAGCTGATGTGCACCTTAACCTCTAAGCTACTCTCATCCACCTCATGACCGTATACACGGCCGTGCATAGCGTAGTCACAGTCTTGTAACCTAGTCTCACGGTGGTAGACACTTTGATCGTAGTGTTTTGCTCCCGATTGTCTCGACAATTCAATGGAGTTGGCCAGCATGATGGTTAGACGATCACCCAAGCCCACCGGAAATTCCTCGATGTTAATATCCGATGTGATTGTGAGGTTTCCCCGTTCATTCTTGCACTGAATACGCGACACCCTAAGATAGACAGCGCCATCTGGATTAAGGGCCGTAACAGTGAAGGTATCCTCCAAGATCACGGGTACTGACGCCATTAGTCCTGGGACGACAAAACCAAAAAGAAAGTCCGACCACAAAAAAAAAAAGAAGAGATTTACTGTCAGAAAAAAACACTACATTAAATAACTTCAATCATCTCCAAAGTATCCATTATCAGCAAGAGTTACATAACTTGTACAAAACGCGAAAACTGGAGGAATTCAACGAAACATTTCCGGGGTCATCTTGTAGACCATGTCTGTGTACACAAAGTTTCCCTCCATATCCATCTCAGACCGCATCTCCTCCACAAACTCATTCATTTCCTCCGTGCTCAAGCAATCACCCTGCGTGGTCAAAATGTAGCGAAGCTCATGTTGGGAAAGGAGCCCCTTACTATCTGGATCTATTCCCAAAAATGCCTCCTTGAGATCTTGCGGTGTCCTCATATTCTTGTACGCTGTCATCATGGCGCGGCAAAAGCCATCAAAATTCATTGATCCGCGGCCATCAGGGTCAGCCTCCAACTTTAAGGGCTCTATGTCCGCTTCTGTTGGTGTCGCGCCGCACACACGCACAAGAGGTATAAGGTCATCTAACGGCACACGGCCGACCTTATCACGGTCAAATATTTCATAGTGACGCATTAAGTACCGACGAGTAAGATCGTCAAAAGCACTCGCCATCTTTAGTAGCACTCCTGACTTTTTTTTTTGATATTTTAAAGAGACAAGAACACAAAACTAAGTATAGCAATCCAAATTTTGCTTTTTCATCCCTAACCCACAAATCAAAGAACTGCCACCAAAATACACAACCTCAGCAACTAACAAAAAGGAGGCATTCGCTGAGAAAGCACTTGAAGCTGAGCCCTAGGAGTCCGGAATCACAACCATACCACTTGAAATCAGTTGGTCCAGTTCCTTCTTCATCCACCCCAAAAGATCAGGAGAGTTCCCACACTTTTGCGCATATACAGCATCTGCACGCTGCAATATACCGTGTATTTCTCCCCAAGGAACTAGCTGCTCTGCAATAGGATGCACTGCGGTGGGAAAAAGCATATCCTCGTAGTGCTGAAAAAAGTAGTGATCAGCAGAATCGTAAAAAAGACGCACCCCTATAACTGCCCCTGTTAGTTTGCGTAACCAAGCCAAAGAAACATCCGGATCAAGATCGTCAAAGTCCAAGTAGCGGCTTACTGCCACTGACAAACTAGAACCCTTTTCCACAGATTCAAGTATTTGCACCTCCATGTCGAACTCGAGGTAACGAAAACGTGAACCTGCATGCCAACGACTAACAGCGAAGGTGCTCCCGGCACATGCATCTGCCCCAGAAGCAGTCAACAAGAAATTTTCACGAAAAGTAGCCAGCAAATCCCAGTGTAGTTTCTCAATTTCTTCTGTTGTCGGCTTCTCTCCAAGCCGCACCAGCTCCTTCTCATGAACGAATCCGGTAGCATAAGGGGCCAAAAACGGAAGAAAAGGAAATGTTAGGGCTAATTCCTCCGGAGAAACCCCAACCATTTCTCCTCCAGATTTAATAAATCGAGGTCGTTTTTCTGAGACTCTTGACAAATGTTTTGATCCAATGGCCTCCAAAAGTGAACAAAATGCCTTTACTACATCTGATGGATACGCAGCGATTCCAGAGATGCTGAGACTTTTGATCATCTTCTCATAAAAAACATCTTCAAAGCAATCATCTATCGTTCCAGTAAGGTAGTTTAGAGTGGTTGGCGCGTGGCAAATCAAGCTGAATATAGTTTCGCAAACATTATCAAAAAACCTGGGTACATCAACATATACTTCATCAGATATAGAAGAAATGATGTAATCAGAAGCTTTTGCGAGTGCAGAGCGAAGGGTTTCCTCGTCGACTCCTGCGTCCGATAAAACAAGGCCGAAAAACTCCCTATCGAATGTCAACCTTCCCACACGAATTATCAGCGGGAGCTGTTTCTCAACAAAAGTATGAAACTCATGATCTTCACGCAACTCGTTGGCAACGATTGAAGCGGTAAGGCTATCGACAACACGATAATACCCACCCCTCTCCCACTGAGAAAGCTGTTCCTGAAAGCCGACATTAGGATTCGCTATGGGACGGACTCTTTTGACAATGGCGAGCGCATCACTTTTAGAGTATCCACCTCGTTTCATCACGTAGGCCACAACCACAGCAACGGAGCGACTCACACCAACCAGACAGTGAACAGCTACAGCTGGACAACACACAGAGTCATTCCGTGTACCTTTTCGTTTTATCTGGACCAGTTCAATAAGCATGCACAACTCAGAGAAATGACGGCTAATGTCATATGATGCTTCGTCTTCTGCAGCAATGGTGCGAACAAATATCTTTCGCAAGTGAGCATCTTCAGGTATATCTCTAGATGTATAGTCATCAAGCAGAGAAACGAAACTGCCAAACGATGACACCCTGGTATAAATGTACCTTTCATATTCGGCCGAATACTCATATAATCGATATGGTGCCGCGTGCTCTTCTCCATTAAGGGCCAAAATGAGGGCCACCCTCTTCTCTTGTGCCTCCATCAGATTAGATATGGTTTCCTCACACGTTAGGAACAAACCTGGAATAATTTCACTTAGTTCAAGCCAAGGGCAATCATTATCACACAATACTGGTTCCCTTACTGTCTGGATCTCCACTCGGGGTAACCAGTGAATCTTTTTGAGAACATCAAACATGCCACCTTTCCTAGACAACAAGCCATTGTGGGAGAAAAATAAATAGATATATTAAAAAACCATCCCATTTTGCAAGTACAATAGGACTCAGTTACGTACACGGCTATAGGTGGGTACAAGAGCTTTGTTCTTTTTTGCAGAGTGCCCTTTACAGTTACCTTACTGCGGTTCGTCGCTCCGTATCCATCCAAGAACATCCTTTGTAACACTTGACACAACACGTTGTTGCTCCGTGCTCCTGGCAGTGCGTTGGCCAAATCTTTCCATAGCTTTTCTGCGCTCATGAAATTCCATCTTTTTTAACACGTGACGGGCTTCTAGTTGATCTGGCGAAAAAGTGGCAGAGGCGATGCCCCTTGAAGCCAAGGTACGGCTTTTCCTAAACGGCTTTGGTGGAGATTGTGTAATGGTATTGACTATAAAATCCGGATCATTTCGTTCCTGAAGCAGAGCCCTCAATGCAGCAATGTGACAATCCCTTACGTACTCTGTAGCTTCACGGTCGAGGTTTCTCCCAATGTTATCCAGACCGTAAGGATCCTTGATGGCAAATTCGAAATAAGGTGGTCTGCCAGTTCCCAGCCCCGGTGATTTTTCCCAATGCATCGTCTTTTTGAGAAGGTTCATATTTGTTGTGCATACAACTTTTTTTTCGTAGTCAAAAATATGACCATAGTATTCAAAAAATGCTGCTGTCAAATACCCAAGTTCCGCAACATCGCAACCCTTACCATCATGAAGGGCACGGTATTCCGGAAAGTATGGAAGAAGCTGTGGCTCATCTGTTGATCTCAAAACAGATATTTTAGGTATAACACCGACTTTGATCAAAAAATGAACGCACATAACGGTAAGAGCGTAGCTTGCTAAGAAGCCGTCAATCGAGTTTATAACTCCACTTGCACGACCCCATTTTTTTAACAATAACAAGAAGTGTCTGGCAAAAACATACTCTGAAAGGGCGTTGCTCAACAAGTAGGAGTTCCTCAGGCCAATCGATGAGAAACAGAAATCAAACGGCATTCTGTAAAGTTCTGGTCCATTACGTGGATCAACAGGAAGACGCAGAGGGATATCAACTCCATCATGACGTTTAACTTGTGAAATCGCAGCAACAAGCGCCGTAGTAGAATTGAACTCAATCGTGGCAAACTGCTGACTGGTGTTCCAGTCAACATTAGTGGCACCATAGTTTTCAACCATCCTCACCTTGAATGAAGCAGTTTCCTCATCATTAAGCTGACGTGTGAATTGAAACACCCCACATCCAGACAAATGATGAAGTGGAGTACCAGGGAGCGATTTACTGACTCGATCAACTTTTATAACAGGGACACGAGCCCTTGGCAACGCACTACTCTTCATGCCGAGGCGACGCATTTCTCTCGATAGACGCGACACAATTTCTCCAGCTTCCTCAACTCCAGGTTCAACATCCGCAACACCCACAAAATCAACATCCCCTCCTACTTCAAGTAATCCCAAAACAACCAAACCACCGAACACATAAACATTCGCATCATAGCCTGAGGAATGAACTATGGTTTCTAACTGTTTCCGAGCGATGCTGCACTCTTCAAATGCAGAACGACCGGTATCAGAGGACAACGCTTGCTGAATTACGGACTCCCCCAAACCTTCCCAACGATTATCATTCTTTGGCGGAATCGATGATTTCCAAGGCAAAACCAAGCATCTTTTTAAGCCGGTCGGCGCCAGAGAAACGGTTAAAAACCTTCTCATGGAGACTACAGAGAATAGAAAAAATATATATATAAAGAAATAAAGAATTTGGTGCGAGAGAGACCAACACGGCTTACAGTCACTCTCCCAAAAACGGGCAAAAAGGAAACAAACAATAGAACAGGGTTTACCTTAGAGCAATTCTGCGCATATTCGGTCCACATGATCAACAAGTCGATAATAACCACCGCCAAAGATGGAAGAGAGGGAGGAATTAACATCTACTGCATTAGGACTACATCCCGTAACTATTCTGGGAATATGAGTAAGGCACCCTTCGTAGTCTTCAACTTGGAAAATTGTTTGTAGAAACACAGACCTCCTCTCAGCCAGAAATTTGGGCGTTACATTCTCTAACAAAACGCTTTGTGAACATTCTTTCATTCCCACAGCCTCTCTTAATGCATCTACCACAAATTCTCCAGTTCGTTGAGCTTTCTCTGATGAGTATAGTCCTATATGAATTCCGTGTGACACTTCTCTAAAATCAGATCGTTTCTCAATCATGCGCCTACTTCTTCCTTGCACTTGCAAACTGCTAATATCTTGTTTGTTTATTTCTTCTTTGACCCTTGAAGGTGCGATTCCGTGTTCCAGGAACTCTATGAATTGCGAAACACAGCGCGCTCTTTGAGCCTGAAAAAATTCTTCTGAAACTCCCACATCGAATTCGCCATCATTCTGGTTGCTATATTGAATGATTCGAGACGCCAATTCATTACCGAGACGGCTTCGCCTACGTTTTCGAATCAGCCAACCAAGCGCCAAGGCTCCTATCTTTTCCAGAGATGCGTTTCTACTCCACATTTCTTGTTCTCGTAGACCCTCATCCACATTTGATGCCACAATCCCGTGATACATCCGAAAAACATCTGCAGAGGACACAAACTTCTGCACATAATTAAGTTGGCGTTGCTCCGTGAGGTCTGCGTGCTTTGGTGGAAAGGATCCAATTGTTGAATGCGGCTGTTCGTTGAAAACATCCGTGTCACCTTTATTGTTTAGTCTAGGACTGCGATCACCACGCGAACAATTCTCATTTTTCTGAGCGTCCTCTACCCTCTCTGACGCTATGTGATTGTAAAAAAGGCTTGCCAACATCACTTTCTAAGCATGCAATCTCGAGAAGAAAAAAAAAAATAAATGACCACAACCCCCCGAACACAAATAAAACTGACAGCATAGGGGCAGCGCACCCCCCGCAGCGCACCATATTTTCTTTCCCCCGGCTTGCCGCCCCCCGGAAAAGCGCCCGTCCTCGATGTTTCCCCGGGTTGCGGGTCGCGTTTTGCTCGGCGGTCCCCGGGCCCCCCCGTGGGGCTGGCGGGCTCCCGCGCTGCCCCCTTCCTTTTTCCCCGGCGTGTGCGGGGTTCGTTTGTGCGCCGCCGCGGCCTCCGGTGATCATTTTTCGCGCCGGCGTGACGAGG